TATGAGTTTTAAATTTGAGTTAACTAAGTTTTTCATATTTCTAAATTTCTCCGAGTTATAAACAAACATTAAAAAATTGTACGCTCTTAAGAGAAGAAAATCTTTGAAACCAGGGGAAAAATTGAGAAGTTTCTACTGTTACCCAAGTTCGCATATGTCAGACTTCCAAAGAATACGTCGGTATTAAATTTTTTTTTTGTTTTATGAATAATATTTGAATATTATTTGGAGTAATCATAATTAAACAATTTTGAAGAAAGTTATTTAAAAGGAACTATAACAAAGGACTAGGTAATGGGATGTTGGGCAAATTAAAGCATCCTTTAAAAAAATGTAAGGTTTCTTACAGTATACATTCTAATTCAGTAGTCCTTTTCATAAATTTCTAGCTAACATGTTAGACTTCTTTATTTTTTGCTTAATGTTTTTCGTATTTTTAATACTTTTGATTATATTTTCTCCAATTGAAGGCAGTTTAATGTTTATTAATAAGAAGAACACGTTAATTTTAATTTTTAAATTAACAAAAAGAATAGTGCTAGTAATTTTACAATAGAAGATTAACTACAAAACAGGTGTCCAAAATTAACCAAAAAAAAAATACAGCGTGACAGCTGACAGTTCAGGCTTATTAAAAACGGAGCGCTACACAAAAGAACACCGCCTCGTTATTATTGAACATCATCTGCAGCTATGAGATCTATCATCTGCAGATTTATAACACTTTAAATGTATAACAATTCTAATTACATATTAAAAAGACCTAATACAACTCATATAAAGGGTAGCGGAAATTACTAATAACACACATTTATTCTTGTATAATTAAATTTTCATATACGAAACAAATTTTCATGTACAAGCTACTGTCAAATAAGTACTCGGGTGGAGTTTGGAATGTTGTATACCCGCCTAACCGAACATTTTTGTCAGTGACGACTGAAAATATTATCCTAAATATTGTTCTTTGATTAATGCCGAATATTGTTCTTTGATAATGCCGAATATAATTTAAATTAATAATTCCGAATAATCTTTAATAGCTAGATTCTTTTAACTTAAATAAATAAATTTTTTAATTAAAATTAATTTTATATTAAAAAATGGAAGTTAATATTATGGCGGTAGTTAATGTAACTTTGGTGATCTTGAAAGTAATTTTTAGTGACTCAACTTAATTCCTGTCTTTCTCAGATTTTTATTTAAGTATAAATGCCTTAACAATAAACAATTAAATTTTAATTTAGTAGCTATTCACAAATTCAATATTTAAACAAACAAGTATGCATTGCATTTTTTATTCAAGTATAATTAAAATATTTTTTAACCATCATCATCATAAGATTCATATTAAAATTCACCACACATATATGAATTTAAGTGTATGTGTATGTGCACTTAAGAGAACAATGAAACACTTTAAATGTTATATAATAACAGTAATAATAATAACAAAAAAAAAAGAGTAACAATAACTCATTGTTTTGTGTTTTTGCTTTCTCTTTTTTGAGAGAGAAAATCATTTTGATTTCATCTTTATATTCGCCTGGATATGTTCAAAATGCCCTTGAGCTATTAAAATTTTCTTCAAATACTTTATTTGTATGAATGTGTGTACTTAAAAATGCAAAGAGCTTTGAAATTTTAGTTTAAATTTTTTTTTTTATTTTATTTTTTGTTCTTTTTTACCATTACGAGTACGTTTCTTTACTATTTCTATAAATTTTTATATTGTCTATTTGATATTATGCTTTTGTTTTCTTTTTTTCTTATAAACGCAATTCTTTTATCACTTTCTTATTTTTTTTTTTGAATAGTGTAGTCCTTCAATCAAGGTTTTATCTATTGTAATATCATTATAGAAAAGGATCTCTTTTATTTGTGTTTTTTTTTTAAAGTTTATTATCAAAAAATATTCTTGAAAGTATATAAGGGGGTTATTTTATTATACAAGTATGGTGTGAATCTATTTAATTTTTTAAGATTTTGCTTTATTCTAAATCACTTTATTAAATAGATTTTTTTTTATATTATAATTTATGCAGATAAGATGTGAGTAATAAACAAAATGCTTCATATGCATATTAAAAAAGAAAATTTAATATAATATTAATTCAATATAAGGAGGTGATTACTCATCTATACTATAAATTATTATAATAGACTTAACATATGAATGATATTACAGAAAATTTAAGATGAATTTGATTAGTCATCTTTGTCATTGTAACACTACAGCTATAATAAGAGACAAGTGAAATTAAATGTATTGTAAAGAAAGAAAACGTTTATAATACAAGCAGAAGAATCCTCCTAAATATATGCAATAAGAAGATACATCAAAATTATTTATTCTCTTTCCATCCACATACAACAGAAAAACAAAAATTACCCTAACCTCACTTAAACATAACTAAAGCTAGCTACGAGCAAAATTCTAAATAAGTCTTCAAGAAAACACTACCCGTATTTGTTTGATATGATAAGAGCAAAAAACAGGATGAAAACCATATACGCCCTTCAGAGGTAAAATTTTACCCACACCTGCATTTAAATGTAAATAAAACTTTCTGACGTTGATTCCGAAATGATCTTCAATTAAAACTTACTCAAAATATATTTCACTTGAAAAACCAAATAAAAATTCATTTTTGTTTTTTTCTTTTGAGTTGATTAAGCTTTGCAGTTTAGCTGATTGCAGTGCATCGTATTCTAATAAATAAATGTCATATACGTTGAGCTTTTGTCAAATTTACAGTCAAAAGGGTTTTTGAATAATTTTTGCTTCTGTTTTCATTATGATTCAATCTAACGCTTGTACTACAAACTCAACGTTTTAATTATATTTTGCATAATTTGACTTAGCTTTACTCCCAATTGCACGTACAACAGTTTCGCCATACAACAGTTTATTTAATAAAGCGACCACTCAGCGCGTTTAGGTGTTATTCGTTTTAATCAGGGCTCGAGTCTACTGCTTACGAGATCAAATAAAATAATTTACACATTAATCAAATATTTCAAAAATCTTTAACACTTTTTCGTATACTTACATTTTAACAATGGTTTTTTTTTTCGTTCAACAATTTTGTAATTCATGGCAAATATCAAGTAATTAAAAAAAAAACTTCAAAAAAAAGTTGAATTGCTTCTACAATAATTTCATATTCTGAAAATGATAGCAAAATTGCATATTACAAAAATAAATAAATTTTTAAAAATTTTTACTTTTATAATTTTGTTTTTTTCGTTCCAACACATAAAACTATCATAAAATTGTCATAAGCAAACCCTTGACTATTAAAATAAAAACTCTATATGTACACGACGCTCAAATATTAAATTCATTTCTCTTGCTTATAGTATTGCTTTTTTTTCGTATATAATTTTCAAATTGATGTCAGACAAAATTTTTTATTTTTACTTTATAAAGGGAGAATGACAAAACCAAAATATTAAAGATTTAAAAAATTTCACTTAAAAAATATTAACCATAAAATTTTTTATTCATATGGGTATATTGTGCAAAAATGATATACTTACTGATTGTCGACGACTAAGTGTATTTTAAAATTTAAAATTCAACACGAAACACAGTTCAATAAATTTAATAAAAATTTGTAGGAGGAGAAATAGTTGAAATAGAGGGCAATCGAATTTTTCATATATAAAGAATTTAATTTGAAAATTTTTTGTATCTGTAAAAAAAACAACTATTTGAGTGAACTTTGTGACTCTATATTGTATTTAGATATTTGATGAACATTTGCATGGCATAATTTATTAAATTCAAATCAAAATGAATCAATTTATTGGATGGCAACCCTTTTTAAACCATATTATTTCTATAAACTCCAAGAGTATGAAATATATTGTTATCAGTACATTGATGCACTAGCAAGTTAACATATTAATATTAAATTCACCTTGTTGATTATTAAATACCCCAAACGTAATCTCCCTTATAAATTATTTTTTCCTCATACGGCCCTAATTTTTTTCCGGAACCCCTTCTCACGTCTACTCATAAAATTTTTTTTACTTAGCACTATATCAACGCCGCTGACAAATTACAGTATTGCAACTAGCCCAAATCGCGAGACTTCCATCGATGCTTTAAAACCTCTTACGAAATATCTTAGTCATAAATGCGCTATACCGTTTCGCATTCACACAATAAGTACTTTACCGCTTCGTCGTCTTACAGGCAGAGACAGCAAACATAGCTCTCCGCCTTGCCCATCCCCTTTAGATGGGCCATTGTTAGGCTGTGTTTAGTGAGCAAACCTACCAAAAGACCTTATTAATTTATTCTGATTATGAATTCCTAAAATAGAATAACAGTTCTTATAAGTTCAATATTTTCCTGCCATTATTATAAGCAGATTTTGTTGAATTACAGACTTCAAAAAAACTTGAGCCGTTTTGCCTCATTGCCATAAATATTGAGTCGCTAACTTTTACATAAAAAATAAAATTTACTGACCAATAAATATTTCAACAACTTTGTGTTTAATTAGGGAAATCTCTTAAATTCATCAAATACAATTATTCAAAATCTTCAACAATTCAGCATATAATTTTAAAATTAAGCAACTGATAAAGAATAACATTATAATAAAAAATAGCATTTATTTTGGGAATATTATTATGAGTATGAAATTAAATTTTAATTTATTTTTTTGTTATTTTATTAATTCACTCTAAAATTATTATTTTTTTCTTACTAGCAATTCTAAACTTTCACTTTCTATTCTCTTAAACAAATTTTTAATTTAATTTCTTCTCTAACTCTTTGCTATTATTTTTGTATTCTATAGTTTTCTCTCTCTATTCAATGTGTGTATAATAAATGTTATTAAAACTAATATATTATAAAATATTATAATTATAACAAAATATAATTATATTTAAAAAAAAATTTAATTAAAAAACAACATGAATTTATGTAATTTATTATCATTGTTTTTTTTTTTAATTTTTTTTTTAATATTTTACAGAATGTGATCAGACATTTGTTTATCGTGTTGGTGGGCCACAAAATGGCACATTTACGGCACCATCATTTCAAAATCCAACGAATCATTCTCGACAATGTTTGTATATCTTCCTAGCAGGCCCTGGACAACGTGTTGAAGTTATCTTTACACATTTTGCTTTAAGGGGCTCTCCACCAGAGTAAGTTTTAAATATTTTATTCTTTTATGCTTATATTTATAAAAAATTTTATAGTAAAAACAATTTGAGCTATATAAAAAGTTATATTCCAATAATAGTCCTAAATTTTCTTTTTCTGTTTTTATTCACTTATGGTTTTTGAGCGCCTTTTTCCTTTTTTTTAAAATGAAATATAAAGAGAAAAGATGAATAACTTTTCTTTCCATTTAATTTTTACATTGTTATTTTTTTATTATTTTCTCTTTTGTTAAAAATTGTAGAGAGATGGCAAAGATTAGGATTAGTATGTATACACAATTGCTAAATAAACTTGTTTGTCTAGCCTGATCACTTAGTTTCTTGAATAATTCTTTCACCTTCTAATAACCAGACTTTCTGCTATTTCTGTAGAAGAAAAACACACATCTCATTTATAACATGTAAACAGCATTCACATTGAGTAATTCAATTTAATAAAATAGTGGCTATACGAAATCACTGGCATTGAATTCAGGTTTCTTTAATTAATTGGACTCAATAGTAAATGAACTACGTATATAATAGAAGTCCTTAAATAGTCTGAATAAAAGTTTCAAATATTTTTCACAACGCACCCCCTTTCTTTCAATTCACATAAATTTCATTCACAATTATTTAAATATAAACAACATGAATTCAAATATAAATAATTGTGAATGTCTGGCAACATGGATTTCAATTTTTATACTATATTTTCTGTAGTGAAGTTTGAAATTTTATTAAATATCAAATTTGCAGACTGATTAATTTATAAGTTTGATTTAATACTTTCACAAGACTGAACTTATTATTATTCTTCATATATAATAAATTATTAAATTTATCATCGCGTTATCGTATTTAATGTTCAATTTGAATAATTTTTCAGATTAAATTTACCAGTAATTTATTTTTGTTAACTAAAATTTAGTTCTACCTGTCTAAATGAGCCAATTTGAAAATTGTCTACATTAATTTTTTGTTTCCAGTCAATAAAATTAAGCATAACACATGGTAATTAATTACTGTTACGACACAATTATGATATTACTTAATTTGCTGAATTTCCAGTCAATGAAATTAAGCATAACATATCGTAATTAATTACTATTAAGACACTGTTAAGATAATACTTTGTTGTGCTGTTATCCCACTACTATAAATGTGAAAGGCGAACAAATATTAAATTAAAAATTCAATGAAAAAAAATTTAGAGATGGAAACAAGGTTTAGGAAATTTTTCTTTACAATTTTTCATGTTATTTTGATTTTTTCCCATTTCTTTTTAAATTGTTCTCTTTTATTATTTTCTCTTTTAAATTTTATTCACACTTTTTTGAATTTCCTTATCTCTTCTTTTCTAAAATGTGTTTTAGTTGTTCAGATGCCATCATAATAGTTCCTTTTAAATGATTCCTTTTTTTTTTGAAAGATTTTATACTTCACATTACATTGTATATGTATATATTATGTATATTTTATGTGCATTGTAAATATTTCACTAAAATTTTTTCTTGATTTTTCTCCACATCTTTTTCATGTTAAATTCTTCTTTTTTTCATCCCTATTTAAGTGGGTCGGCTGTCGGTGAACTACCAGCGTAAGTATTACACTTTTATATATACTTATAATTCAATTAAATCACAAAAAAAGAGGACATGGTTTTCAAATAATTTATGTTTGTACAGTTTTTAGTTTTGTAGTTTAACTAAAATTAAAATAGAAAAAAAAATAATAATTTTTTTGAGTAAATGGCGCAATTTTTTTTTTCTTTTTGTGCCACCATGTTCTCTTCAATCTTTTATGTTTTTCATGGTTTTTGAAAATTTGTGTTAAATGCCAGGAGGCAAAAATAAATAAATTCATTTAATAAACTAAATCAAATTAAAGATAATAAAAATATACATAGACTTTTAATAAAAACTTTTTATGACAGTAAAAACTTAAAATAAAAAAAAACAAATAATGCTCTCTTTAATACTGTTAAAAAAATTTTTATTTTCAAATACGACTAGAAAAAAATAAAACAAACAGTAACTAAGCATAGAGTACGTACAGTTACTGTATAAAAAAAATTTCCCTTTCGGCTTTCATAATATTCTCTTTCCTATAAAATAAACCTTTTGAATATTGAATCTGTTTACGAGAGTGTAAAACAGAGAAGAGCATGAATAAAAAAAAATTTGGTGTAATCAACACATAACCGACCGCAATATGTCTAGTTTAGCAAAAGTATTGCATAAAATTGTAAAAAATTAAATATATCTTTAAAATTTTAAGGACGGTAGGAGCATTTTAGTAAACATACCTATAGAAAGATATAATTTTGACTCTTAGAAAAGTTTCGCTTTATGCTATCCGAATACCCTGCTTTTAGTTCTGGTAGCAGAACTCAAATATTAAATATCAAGAAATAGCGTCAATTAGTTGAACGCAAATTATGATAAAAAATGTAAAATGAGATCCTAGTTCGATTTCCGAGCTTTGAATTATTCCTAAAGAATTTACCCATCCATTGTTTTAACATCCTGAAATTAAATATCAAATTAATGTGACTATTTCTCTTTATATCTGCAAAAATGTAAATTTTGCCAGTACAAAAAATACAGCTATTGACACCTGATTTTTTCTCATATTCAAGGAAGCTTCTATATAAAATTTCAAGTTAGTCTCTGTTGACTATTTTCTTAAAAATGATCAAAAATGTAAAAAGATCCAGTTCCCAAGGCCTGATATATTCAATCCTTAACATATGCAGAACTCGATACAGTCGGTAAAAAAGTACTCAAAAATATTACTCAAAAAAAGCAAAATGAAAAGTATAAATTGATTGACTTAAATTTGTTTAAATATGAAATGTCGTAAGCTCAACAGAAAAACCGTTCAATTAAAGTCACAATAAAAATTCACCATAAAAAAAGAGAAGGAACTAATAAGTATTTACATTTATGAGAATAACATGTTTTCCTTTGCAAATCGGAGTCACATTCAACCTACATTAATATATTTCTAGATGACATTTGCGACAATAATATTATTTTTTAAATACAGATCGAATTTCTATTATTAATAATAAATTTAATATTATCCCATTAACATATGAACTTTATGAATTAAACTTTAAAGTTTAATATTAACGTTAACACAAAACCTGCTGACAATGTCATTTATTTGTCAATGATATACAAAATGAAATTAATCTTTAAATCTAACAAAGAATATAATGTGCAACATGATTTTCATTAATGACCGCAAAACAAAATTCATGAAAATTCTGGTATTCATTACACATAGTTCAAGTAATTAATAGACAAACACATAACTACATATGTATACCTATCAAAAATCAAAAAATATAGTATTTATATCAAAAAATATAGCATTAGTATGCAAAAATCCATGCATATACACAATTTCAAACATTATGTTTTAATATTCAACAATGCCAGAATTTTACAATGTGACACACAAAGATGCCTCCTAATTATTGTTTTTTTTTAACATATTGATGTAATTTATTAAATTTTCCACCCACAAAATTATATTTAATAATATACTTACATACATATGTATATGTATAACAATTATACATAAATTTTTCATTTTGAAATATATAGTTGCATTTCTGAATACATGGATATTTATGCTGAGGTACAATCATCAGATCCAGCTGATTTAATAAATTCACCATTTGGTGGAAGATACTGTGGTCCAATACCACCACGACGTCGGATTTCAATGCATCGTGCAATAGCGTTGTCATTTTTCACAAATAAAAATTCATCGACTCCAGATTTATTCCAAGGACGTTATACATTTATAAATGCATGTAAGTAACATTTTAATTTACGTAAATAATAAAAAAAAATATTATATTGTATATATACATAATAATATATTATTATTATATATAATAAATATAATTATAACAAAATCACAAACTAAAGTATGTAGGCATATACGCATAGTACAGAGCCATCATACGTATAAAAAACAAAACTAAATTATTATTCCATTAAATTTTTTTAAATTACACATACATACATAAACCACAAATTCAAAATGATAATAAATTATGTATGTAGGTGGTTTATTTTTTACTTTAAATAAATATATATATATACTAGTATATGAAAATTTCAATTTTAGAATTTTTGTTATAAAATTGAATAAAAATGAAAATTTTTATTAAGGTAAAGTAAAATTATATTTTTATTTTCGAAAATAAATAATTTTAAACTGAACAATATTAATGTTAACGATATGAAAAATGAAAGGAATGTGAAGTTTTTTTCAAGTTAAAAACCTTTTCTGCCAAACACTTTTGTTTAAAACACTTAACTTTTTCACCTTTACTTAAACAACATAAAAAATTATAAAAATCACTTAAACTTTTTTTACACATTTTTGACATCTCTTCTTTAATTAATTTCACTTAACTCTCTAATTTTCTTGCACTTTTTAAACATTTATATGGTAGGTTTTCCATAAGAACCCTTGCAACTTGCTCATATTTTCCATATCTATTTTCATTAAGCCTTTATTATTTAAAATCAAATTTAAAAATAACAAAACCAACAAAAAAAAGCACTAATTGTATTAATTTCATTACAATCACTTCTTTCATATTTTATGACAGAGGAATTTCATTATTTAGCCGAAAGAGTGTGTTTTAACCGAACTAGTTTATTATAGAGAAATTACAGGAAATAACCAAAAATGCATTAAAAATGCTACGTACAAAATATGACAAAAATGACAAATACATGACAAATGAAAAATTACAAGTAACTTCTTTTTATAAAAGTTCCCTATTTTGAAAATTATATATTTTGAAGGCACCTATGTACGAGTATGCATAATGAATAATACCTTTGTTTACACAACTTCCGTTTCAATTCCCCTTGTCTAAAATCTTTGCGGATAATGGGAATAAAAGGTACAACAATTGATGCAAAAATCGTCGTGTAAGCACAGGTAATGAATTTCGTACTAAGCTTAAAGTTAAATGAAACAAAAAGTTTCAATTCGAATTTTAAAAGCAAGAAAAAAAAATAAAAAAACAAAATTAACGGAAAATTCTTCTCAACTATATTAAAATCCGCTTACTGAACAATTTTAATTAAAATTTAAACTAATAAACTGAAACACTTTGTTCAATTTAATGTGATGACACTAATTAACCACAATCACTTTTAAAAATGTTGCAGCAAATGAGAGTACTTTCATTATAAATTTTTCGTGCTGTTTCCATTTCTAATCAATTTTATGGTTTAATTTCTTAATTTCTTCTTATTCTTATTAATGCTGACACCGTTAAAACACACTTTTACGTCTATAAAATGGGTAATCGAAATTACTAAGGTCTGCGTTGCTGGCATTTTTTTTTTTTATTTTTCGCTTGATATTAGAATGGCAGCGTTCTGTATTGTTAAAAACAAAATTTTATCAAAAAACGGCCTTTAAACTGCATTCAAATGCAAAACTAAATGCAGTGACACTACATTGTCAAATAAAAGTAAAGTTTTTTTCTTATATTTCGGGATACACTATTTAGATTACCGTCCTCCTTAAAATACGAAAAATTGTCAAAAATATGTCAATTTAAATATTTATTAATGCCTACTGGAAATGCTTATCGTAAAATTTTATAAATGGCATTCAGAATTTTTTACTTTTTTTTGCGTTTTATACAATTTGGAACGCGTAAGATACGGTATAAAACATTATCAAAATTTGCGATTTTTTACAATACGGAATGTTGCCATTGGGTAGTTTATTTAATATTAAATTATGCATTTTGGAGCCACTCGTAAGTATGCCTATATAGGCAAATATGACAAATTATAATTAACATGCATTTTATATATCTCCCAAAATATTTCTATAAATTCACAAATATTTCTGATTCTTTTATACAATTTTATAATTTTATTAATAAAAAAACAAAATTAATATTATTTTATTATTATAATAATTTCAGCTGAATACGAAATCGGTATACCAATAGCTGGATCACCATGTTCCTACACGATTACCCCTAGTATGAGTTCAAATAAAACAGGTGCTTTAATATCTCCAACTTATCCTGGTGCCTATCCTAAAGATATGTCATGTACATATCAATTTCTCGGTGAATCGAATCAGAGAGTTAGACTTGAATTTCGTGACTTTGATCTGTTTTTTGGAGGGCCTCAGTAAGATTTTTTTATGCCACTTTATTTTTTTTTTTTGTTACTCTCTTGTTGAACAAGATTTGCATTTTTTTTTTGGTTTTGATTATATTTTTTGAGTTCATTAAATTTTTTTAAAAAATGTTTTTAAAATTTTAGTTGCCCATTTGATTATGTTAAAGTTTATGATGGTCCAGATAATTCATCGGCATTAGTTGGTACATATTGTGGACAGCAAAGAAATTTAGTATTATATTCAAGTGAATCAAGCCTTTTTGTCCATTTTTATACATTGCCAAGAACGGCAAATACTCAAAATCGTGGCTTTAAAGGAATTTATGAATTTAGCGAAAGTTTTGTTAAATTAGATTTTATACGTAAGTATATATAAAATATAATTTGAAATGTTAATTTCATTGTAATTGTATACACAATACATATACATATACATATAGATAAAAAATCAAAATATTCAAAGTTAATTTTTGTTTAAATGTGGTGTTTATTAAATATTATTTTATATAAGTTTATTAATTAAAAAATATTAATAATATTGAGAAAAAAAAATTACATTACAAAAATCAGTAAAGTGTGCACTTTCAAGAAAAGAAAAAAAAACAAAATTGTTATACATAAATGTGCTGTACAAAATAAGCTAATTTAGTGTTACCAACAAAATTATATGGCATTAATTTAATTACGTTAAATTTTGCAATTACATACACAAATTATAAATTAAATACATACATATAAACATTTATAATTTGTGTGTGTTCAAAAATTAATACATACATAAATGTACAATGCAAAATTATTAATTTATTAAATATTAGACACATTTTTGATTGTTGTGTAATTGTGAATGTTATGATTCCTAATTAGTACAAAATTTTCTAATCAAAAATTGAAAAAAAAAACCAAAAATTTATAAAATTTTCTGAAAATTATTTTTAAATCCTATATACAAATTCGGATCGAATAAATGATTTTCATAAATTTTTATGAACACAAAATTTGAAAAAAAAAATTATCATTGAAATATGCTTAATATTCCAAAAAAAAAATGTTATTTTATGTGTTTGTTCATTTACATTGTTATTATTATTATTATAGAATGAATTCATTTAAGTAGATCAACATTTAACATAACTCTTGTAGAGAATTTTAGAAACTAGATAAGAAAAAATCGGGCTTATTCTTACTATCAAATTATTAATTGATGATGCCATTGTTTTGTTGTAAGAGTTTGAAAAAATTTATTATAGACACGAATCATTTGTATGAATTGGTTTGTGTTTACAATAACAACACCGAACTTTTTACGATGAATATCACTTTTACTTCTTAAATTATTTGATATTCCGAATAAGCCCCGGTTACAAGTTTCAATTGCAGAATTAAAACATTCATATTATTTAAAATTTTCATAGAGTTTGTTTAATTAGAAAAAAACTTTTAAAAATTTTTAAAATGTCACATTTAACTCGTTTATGTGGCAGCTTGACTACTTGACTTGAAATTATCTCAAAACTTTACTTTGTGTTTTTACTTAGCTTAAATTCCCTAAGATACGAATATTAATATTTAAGTCAAATAAGTAAAAGTTTGTGATTGACTTGAGTGAAGTCAAATCAAGAAACTGTTATATGAATAAAAATAAGAGGTAATTACCCCATATAAACGCGTAATTGCCGCTCAAATAAAATGTTAAACTAATCGTTTTGGAAATTGCCTATTAATAAAGAGATAACCCAATACAGAATCGAGTGATGAGCACAAATATTCAAAAGTAAATAACTTTAAAATTTGATGTGATGAGCTCATATATTTGATCATATTGTGTATTTTTCGGATAATTTTCACAAATTTATTTTGATTCGATTATTTCTAATGATTTGATTATGGTTAAAATTGCACTCGTTCTTTCAAAAAGTCTTATAATTCGTTTTTTTGAAAACCATTATATGATTTTTCAATTATGTGTATATTTGTAATTATGTATATATTTTTGTACATATATGTGCACTCAGCACAGACAAACCAAATGACATTTCTTTTAAAATAGTTTATTTACGGTTCTCTACCACTCTAATTCAATTCCTGTAAAAATTATGGCATTGTTATATTTTGATATCATCACAATACATCCCTGATTATATAAAATGCCCCATATAAATGAAATTTAAAATGTATAATATTTAAAGTAATACTTAAGCTTAAATGAATTCAATATTATGGTTTTAATTTTTTGTTTTTAAAGCGTTTTTAATTATGTTATTTGTATATACGCAAATTGTGGTTATTTTTAATATTTTATTAGGTTTAATATAACAATATAAATATAAAATAATCCCCAAAATAAGTGGTAAATCACATTAATTATCGGGACTATTCGGGAATGCCGAGCCGGTCAGCTGTATTTTCAACCTTAACTTCACCATCAAATTCTACGATTATTAAATTACGAATACGACTCTGAATCTGACTCTGATATGCTACATAAATTTTTAATAATAAATTTTGTAAATTTACGACTCCGACCTTCACCTCAGATCTAACATTAAAACACCTTTGAAAGTTCGATGTTATGACTCTGCGAAAATATAAACAAAAAATGCTATATATACCTACATAATACGAGTACAACTGTTGACAGTTGAGTTAAAGTGATAAAAAAGAACACAAGAATCAAAATTTTAAAGTACCCTGTAAATTTTACAAATCTTACATACATATATAATATTATCACTGTTTATAACACTGGCAACCATGATTGTATTCTAAAAGAAAATTGTTTTCTTTGCCTTTATTTTTAAATTTTCATTTGCATTTTATTCATTTTCGCTTTTTTGCCAAAAATTTGCTTTTAATAAACAAATTAATTTGCCAAGTTTTTTTAAGTTATTCTATTTTGAGGCACTATGCTTTATACCAAATTTTTTTGATTAAAGTCCGTCAAACCATATATTTAAATATCCGTACACATTATCTATAGAATTTTGGGAAATTTTTCATTGTTTAAGATATTGGGAAATTATGGGAAAATGTGACATATTTTCGTAACCGTTTTCGACTTCCACTGCTCCCAGTTTGAAAAAATTTATATTGGGGTAAAATTAATGAGCGAAATAAATAATTGAGTTTTAAAATTAAATTTTTATACTCTCAATTAAAGTCAAGCTAAAAAATTAAATAAACTCAGAAATCTATTTAGTTAGCAATGACAAATTTAAACAAATTTAACCCACCAAAATCTGGTGAGCCCTGACCGAATTACTCCGATATCTCCCTGTTTTTAAAAAATTTCATTAACAATTAACATTAAAATTTTGAAATAATATTAAAATTAACCTTTCATTTAATTATTTTAATGCGAGTAACATTCCTATAAATTTGTAGACACAACCCAATATACTAACAAAGTAACAAAATTGAACTCAGTCAAACATTTTCACTGTCGATGACCACCCAAATAAATTTGAGTTCTGGAATACAAAAAATACTGTAAACAGATTATGTACGTTCCATTTCATACGTAATTCGGAGCCAATTTACCCAAATTACCATTAACTTCATATTAGAAGGAAAACATATTGTTACAATGCATGCCCTTAAATTAAATTGGAATATTAAGAAAATTCAAAAAGTTCAAATTACTAATTAGTTTAATTTATTTTGGATAATTATTTTTAAAAAAAAATAAATTAATATCCTTTGTTTTAAAAAAAAAAATACCCACTATTTTAAAATAAAGGACAAAATGATGGCATTCACATACGTGGCTCAGAATGTGATCAAAAAATTTTATCAAAAAAAGAATCAACAGGACATGTTTTTTCTCCAAATTATCCTTACCCGTATATACCAAAAACTGTTTGTAGGTAAGTTTTGTGAATTTGATAAAACGTGAACTCAGGTTTGCAGTTGAAAATTTTTAATTATGACAATTTTAAATTTAAATGATTAATATATATATATGTAGGTATTTTATATATGGAATGCAAGATGCTCAACATTTAGAACGTGTAAGGTTAGAATTTTCGATATTCGAAATTCCAAAGGGAGAAACAAAAGAAAAAAGCGAGTAAGTTCTTGTAACCTTTTTTCATTACTTTCTTCTTAATAAATTTGCCCCAAAATCAATTTAATTAAATAATTTATTTTTTCTTATTAATTCTTTGTTTTATAGAAGCAATTGTACCGATGGGTACTTAAAGATTTATTTGAAAGGTCAAGAGACTCAAGATGCTTACGATAAATTCGATTATGAATTATGTGGCAATGAAAATCAATCAGTTGTAAGTGATGGGCCACGATTAGCAATGGTATTTAGTTCAGGTGAATTACAAGGACGTGGTTTTAAAGCAAAATATACATTTGAAACGGAATATAAGATACCTGGAACAGCTGCTCCAGATGGTTCATGTAGTTTCACCTATCGTAGTTCATCAAAAAAGAAAGGAGAATTTAATAGTCCACGTTATCCATCAAATTATCCATCAGATACAAATTGTTCATATATGTTCTTAGCTAACAAAAGTGAACAAGTAACAATTGTTTTTGATCATTTTAAAGTTCGAGCTGATAATCATAATGCTACTGGTGGTGCTTATGGGTAAACATAATTTTTTTTTTTTTTGATTTTATATAATAAACATAAGTACATATATATTTTATTTACTTGAATTATGATAGTGTCAGTGCTTGCTTTGAAGATTGGCTGGAAATATATGTTGTGTATGAAGATGCTGCCGATCGTTTTATGGGAAGATATTGTTCTGTAACAGCTCCTGGACCGATTGAAAGTCCAAAAGGTGCAACTGGTCTAAGAATATTTTTACACACAAATTCCGAAAACGTTGCTAGCGGCTTTAAGGCTCGATATGTTTTTGAAGCTGCTAAATCGGAATTTGGTGATTGTGGTGGAAATTATAGTGGTGAAGACTCTGGTATTATTACTTCACCAAATTATCCACAGAACTATAAAGGACCTGCTAAAGATTTTGCATCTATGGCTTGTAATTGGTTTATTAGTGCTCGAGCTGGCTACAGAATATCAATTAATTTTGAACATTTTTCGGTTGAAGGTGATCCTGGAGGTAAATTTTTTCAAAATTATTTTGTAAAAAGTTGTAAATAATTAAAAAAAAATTATTTTTAAAAATAAAGGACGAGGTTGTCCAGCAGTTGTATTACGTCTTTGGACAAGCATAGACACCGAAGCACCACCTATAGAATTATGTGGTGAAAAGCCTCCAACTGAACACTGGCATTATATTTCACAGGGACAATCGGCTAGATTAAGTTTCACTACTACAGATAAAACTATAGGGGCTCAGGTAATTTTTTTGATAGTAACTTTATTATTAATTTTCTAATTATGTTTTTTCTTTATTATTTATTTTTGTTAAAATAGGGATTTCGTCTTGTTTGGACTGAAATACAAGATTCTGGCCCTGGATCGCCGTCTTCCATATCAATGCTATGCGAGTCTACCTATCATTTTCAATGTAAATCAGGGTACTGTATAGCAGATAAGTTGCGTTGTGATGGTGTTAAAAACTGTGGACCGGGTGATGATAGCGACGAAACGAACTGTGAGTCGTGAGTGAGTCGAACGGTTCAGTTCATTTTTTATTTTTTTCTATTAATTTTTAAGTTTAATTTTTTTATTATTTCTTTTTATTATTATTATTTTTTTTTTTTTACTATTAATAGAGTTCAATTCAGTTGGGTTTTTAATTTATTTTTTCAGTTAAAATAAAGAAAACAAAAAAAAAATTCATTAATATTTTTATTAAAGTAAAAGTTTAGTAAATTTTCGGAAATTTTTTCAAAAATTTTATATTTAATTCTATATTAATAAATAAAATTTTATTTTTTATTTTTAATTTAAGGTCACTTTATCTTAATAGGTTTAGTAGTTCAGTTCTTGGTATATAATAAAAGTAAATGTTCAGTACTTAATTCCATAAAAACTGTACTCTACACTAATACTTACTACCATAATTAAATATGAAGAGCGTTAGAAGCATTAATTTAAAAGTTAGGAGAATAATTTACAGAAATATTAGGTCCATATTTATCTCTGATGTTAATTATTGTCTTTCATGTAATGAAGAATACCGATATAATCTTTCCGCGTCAATTTTAACGTCAAGTACATCTTCTAGTTTTGTATTTCTTCAGGTAAAAACCAGGAATAAAATATTATAATAGAACAAAAATATATTTCACCAGTGAATAAACCTTATTTTAAGCTAAAGGCTCCTCTATAAGTACATAATTTCAGAATTGAAATTCCGTTCTCTTTGTGAATTTCTGACGGTTAATGTCTCTCCTCTAAAATGTTAAATGTTCCGTACAATGTCATTCTGACAAAACAAAATTGTCGGAATCGTAACAATTTGAATGCAGTAAAGCACGGATAAGTGCACACTCTCGAAAATTTTATATTTGTGCACTTACGTGCAATTTGTACTTCAACGTAAGTGTAATTTGTAAATTAAGAAATTAAAAAAAAAAAAATTTTATATTAATCACAAAAGTTTATTGCAATTTACGTCATATGCAAGTGTTAATGTACACATATAATATATACAGCATATGGTACATACATACATATAGTTGTTTAAAAAAAAAAACCAGAGAACGCATTTAAAATCCGTTACATTAAAATAAATGAAAATTATTATTTTTGACAACGCTATGTGCCAGCCGTTTGACAATATGCGGAATAGAGTGTGTATACCTACTAAGAAAACAAGTGATTGCGCTATTGCAGAAATCGTATAAAAATTTATTGAAAAATGTATGGTATTGAAATTCTTGTGTACTTACATGAAATTGGGCACTTACCCAAGCTAATTCATGAGAACTTCTTATGCTAATGGCATATACATGAAATTAATTTTGCGCATTTATCTAAGTTGCACTCAAATGTGTTCTACTGTAGTTGTTAATTAAAACTGTCATATAATTTTAATTTCCAATATAACTATATAACAGTTTTTCAAACAAATCATTTAAAATATAATTTACTGCTTCTAATGCTTTCTCTTAATACGAAAACAGTCATTCAATATTACAATTAAAATTATTGAATTATTTTTGAAATAAAAAATTTTAAACAAATTAATATACAAATTCATCTTCTTTTCTTACATTCGTATGTTATTGTATAACTATAATTAATTATTTAATTTATTTAATAAGTAAAGTTGTTATTTATTATTAAATTGTAAACATTTTTTTCTATAGTAAAGTCGTATATCATTGTAATTTTTTAGATTTTATAATATTTAAGTGGTAGGTACAAAATAAAAATTTATTTAAAGTAAAAATCGTATGTATAACAGTTTGACATCTTATATATAAAGTGATTTTAAATTAAATTTTTTTGTTACATTATTTTTATTATTTCTTCATTCTTATTAATTATTTAACTTTTGTTTTTTTTTTATTACTTATTATTATATTAACAAAGAAACTTGAACCAGACGAACACTTACTTTTCAAATATAATATAACATTTTTTTTAAATATATAAAATAATACTTTTAATATATTATATATAATTTCAATTAAAAAAAAAATACAAACAATAGGTGTATAAAACTATATTTAACATAAATTTTTATTTACAAAAATTTTTAAAAACAAAAATTATAACTGAAGAAATAAGCACCCACCACAATTTTAATCGTATTAATTTTTTTAAAATATTATATACAATATATAACTGTTATATTATTTCTTAAAAAAATACTCTAAGCTAGTGAAAATTACACCTCTTATTTGATATGTTTAATTATGAACTTTTAATGAACTTTAAATTTTAAATAACAATTCAATAATTCATTATGACTTTCCTTACAAAACATTGTCGTATATATCATAAAGGACGGAATCGGCAAAATATTCCAAATTCTCCAAACCAAAGTGATATAAAAAGTCGCGCAATAAATAAAAATTATTATAAGTCTTTGCAAATGAGATTTCTGTTTTCAATTATTGACATTCTAATAAGTTTTTACACTGTTATCATTTAAAAGTTCACACGTCAAAATATTTGTAATCTCGTGTCGTAATTTTTGTAAAGCATGTCGTAATTTTTGTTAAATAAAAACGGTAATACTGTTTAATACAGCAAGCGATATCTGTTGAATAAATAAAATATTATATGACATCTGAAAATCAAATAACTATTTTTTATTTTGAATTAAATTTTTTGTTTAAAAATAAAATAAAAAAATCAAAATATAAAAACCATAATTGAAAAATTCCGGCAAGTTCCCCGCTCAAATCTTTCATTTTTTAAATTTGTTTATTTGTGAATTTAAATGAAATATTACGCAAATAGTTACAAAAAAATAATATAATTAAAGTTGAAAACAGGAAACGAGCAACTTTCCGCGGCGAAATGTCATAATTCATATAAAATCAACCGATATTTAACCGTCGACGGAGAAATAGCCTAAATTTCTATTTTATCGCTGGCGATTTTTTTGACATTATCGCTTTTAATATGTGTGTGACATTATAAACAAAATACTGTACAATCAATTTTGCCGTTCTGTTTTTGTCCTGGGTTAACAACCAAAATTGTTCATCGTTGCTGTTCACTGCTTTAGCTGTTATCAATATATCTCCAAGACAATATATCTCCAAAAACCTCTCCACTTTGCTGTTACGTCTCCAAAACCTCTCCACTTTACTGTGCACAATGAAAACAAACTGGTTTTCAGTTTTGAAGAAGAGAAATTTTGTTTTTTTTAGAAAATGAATTGAATCACATTGTTGATCAAATAAATTGCCATGTATTAGAAAAAGCTTATTCTTATGGCCTCTCGCAGAGTTATATTAGTTATTTATTTATAACTTCATTTTGGTTGAAAATATTAACATGCTTACCGCTAGTTAGTATAAAAATAAGTTTTTATCAAACATTCGATACGAATATTTACCGGCTTATTTTACTCTAATATTTTACTCTACTCTATTTACACTGAAATATTGATGAACAGAAGTTTTTTTTTTGTCTTCCAGTACAAACTGTATAACTCTTACATACTTAAAAATAAAGATGCAAACCAGTTAATCTGATCTTTATTTTTTCACAGGCTTTCACTACATAATTTTTTATATACCTTACGCTAATAAAATTTTCGCTCTTTTCCTTTTTTATCGTTAGTGTTGTTAGCAGTTATAAACAGAATCAATTCGGTTAACATAACACTTTCTTTGAAAAGTTCTAATAATTATTTTATCAGTGGAATTTTTTAAAATTGTAAATGCAATTTCGATTATTCATTCAAAATGATGAGCATAATATAACAAAAAAATATACAAACGGGGTGGTGTCGCGGAGATAAATCTAAAATCTAAACCAAAATAATTTCAACGAGCGCTTTTGTCGCCTTCGAGTCTGTAATAAGAATATTGAATAATAATAATTTAAAACAAAATTTTCTAATTATAAAAAATTGATTCTATTATACACAATCTCTACATTTACTTCTCACCATAGCAGAGAGAAATAGAGAGGAGAAAGTGCGATATCTTGTGCTTATTTAAAGAGTAATTAATCTTGGATATCTAAAACGTAATCTCTTATTTTGCAATAATTCTACTCGTCTACAAATTTTACTCAAAAAGTATAAAATTTTTTAAGAGTACCATAATGGATTTGTTAAACACACACATGTGGATTAACAAAAAATATTTTACTTTTCTATCAAAAATAAAAATATAAATTTCTTAATTTTATTTTCTTTTTGTTTTCTCTTTTAAACTAAATAAAGTTAAGATTTTCTTTAAAAAAAAAAAATTCTTTAAACCTATCAAAACTTTTTTCTTATACACTATTTTTTTTCTCTTTTTTTTTTTCTTCTTTTTTTCTATATTATATATACTTACATAATCTGTTTTACAAAATATTCAATAAAAATCTTCGTATGGATTCAAAAACATTATTGAAAAAAAAATAAAAAATTATTCAGGTCCAAATGGTGGCACATTATTGTCAATTAACTGTCAGCTACTATTTTTGCTAACATTTTGGTCAATTTACTTATTCCTTAAATATCCTAGTCATAATCATAATCCCTAATTACTTTAAGTTGATATTTTTTCTTAATTTTATTTTCTTTTTCAATTATACTACAAAAATCCTATTAATTTTCCTATTCCTTTTCCACCATTTTTTCCTATATTCTTATTATAAATAACTTTTGAATTTGAAATTGAATTTTATTTTTCTAAACAATTAAAAATAAATTTAAAATAAGCAAAAAATAAATTAAATACCTTACATTAAACTATATTAAAAAATGTAAAAATCAAATCAAAAACTAAACCGAGCCAAAAAAAAACAAAAAAACAAAAATATTAAATTAGAAATGCATGCGGCCAAAATATACAGATGAATTTCAAAAAGAAAAAAACAAAAACATTAAAAATCTACATTAAAATTATTAAAAAAAAAAAGAAAACAAAAAATTTGAAATATAAGATCTAAAATGTAAGCAAATTGTTAATTTAACATAAAAATCTGTAAACTGTTTAAACACAAGTGAGTTTATAAATTTTAAAAAAA